AAAAAAAAAAAAAAAAAAAAAAAAAAATCAAAAAAAAAAAAAAAAAAAAAAAAAAAAAAAAAAAAAAAAAAAAACGGGAGTGAGAGAGCAGCAACACCTTGTCGCATATACTTATTCGGGGCTTCTTTCTTTGATTTATTTTTTGCGTTTATATAAAAATTAATTAAATTATTTATTTATTTTTTATTGTTTTATGTTTAATTAAAAATAAATTAAATTATTTATTTATTTTTTATTCTTACCTGGTATTTCCTCATTTCTGTTTTCACTGACGGCGGGCAGCAGATGGTTACATCTACCTGACCCTCAAGCTCCATCCGCAAGGCCTCAAAAAACCCTAAAAAATAAAAAAAAAGAATAAAATAAATAAATAAAATATAAAAATTAATTTATATTTATATTTAAATCAATTTGTATACTCAAAAGAAACATAAATTTTTCGCGTTTCCGGGGTGCACCGTGGCGCGATGATCTCCACAAAAACCTAATTATTTATTTTTTAAAATAAAAAAAAATAAAATATTTATTCATTAAAAAAAAAACAACAAAAAAGTTTTTTATTTTATTTTTTTTTTCGGCTTTTGTACACTTCTGCTGTTTCTGTTGCAATCAGAAAAAATTCAAGAAAAACGAAACGCCACACGAAACAGAGTAAAATGAACGAAATAAAAACAAATAAAACAATAAAAATAAATAAAATAAAATAAAATAAAATAAAAATAAAATAAAATAAAATAAAATATTTTATTTTATCTCACCAGTAACCGCAAATTTGCTTGAACAGTAAGCGCTACGCAGCGGCAACCCAATCTCTCCGCTTAAAGAAGAAATAACAACAATTAATCCTTTACTTTTTTTTAGATGAGGGAGAGCATATTTGGTGCAGTGAACTGAAAAAAAAACAAGAAAAAAACAAAAAAAATACAGAGAGAAACACAGATGCAAGCGTGTATACGCCTCCTCCTTTGTTTTTTTTTTATTTTTTTTGTCTATTTAATTTTATTTTTTTTCTGTTTTCTTGTGGTATACTGAAGCTCACCATAACCAAAAAAGTTAACGTCAAACAAACGCCGAAAAATGTTCATGTCGGCGAATTCAGAAAACGGGAAATGAGCGCTGACGCCTGCAACAGAAAGATACAAAAAAAAGAAAAAAAAAAAAGAGAAAACAAACAACAATTCAAGTTTAATACAACATTTATTCTTCTTTTATTAAAAAAT